GTGGCTGTGTTCCCATGCATTTGCTGCCCTTGTCCTTCTAGTTGGTAGAGGTTATGGATTTGGAAGGTATTGTCAAAGAAGCCTTGATGAGTTGCTGTGCATCTCATTGGTAGTACACACTGCTGCCTCTGTATGGGTTTTGGAGTGAATGAATGCTTTAGGAAATAAATAGGATGCCAGTCAAGCTGGCTGCTTTGTCCTGGATGGAGTCAAGCCAACTGAGTGTTTTTGGAGCTGCATTCATGCAGGCAAATGAAGAGTATTCTATCACATGCCTGACTTTTAGTTGGTGGAGTCAGGAGATGAGCTGCAAATTGCAGGATTCCCAGTCTCTGACCTGCTCTTGTGGCTAAAAGCAAAATCTGTTCTTGCATTTGAAGAACAATTAGATTACAGAATCTTTCAATCACTTTGAAAGCACAGATTTAATTAAGTTTGAAATGTTGCTTTGGAAGGAAACCGAATCACCACTTGCACATAGCAAGGAACTGCCAACAATAAAGAAGTTCAATGTTATAGTGATATTAGCTGAGGGATGAATGGTGGCATGCCAGAAGGAGAAATCACTGATCATTTTTAAGTAACATTTAAAGTCATACAGTGCAGAAACAGACCCTTCGGTCCAACTTATCTGCACCAACCAGGCATCCCAATCTGACCCAGTCCCATTTGCCAGCATTTGGCCTATATCCCTCTAAACACTTCCTATTCATATACACATCCAGATGTCTTTTAAATGTTGTAATTGTACCCAACTCCACCACTTCCTCTGGCAGCTCATTCCACACATGCCCTCCCTCTGCATGTAAATGTCACCCCTCAGGTTTTTTTTAAATCTTTCCCCTCTCACCTTAAACCTATATCCTCTAGTATTGGACTCCCCTGAGGAAAAGAGATCTTGTCTATTTACCCTATCCATGCCTGTCATGATTTTGTAAACATCTATAAGGTCACTCCGCAGCCTCCAACACCTCGAGGGAGAAAAGCTCCAGCTCAAACCCCCAGTCTCAACAACATCCTTGCAAATCTTTTCTGCAGCCTCTCAAGTTTAACAACATCTTCCTATAGAAAGGGCAACCAGAATTTAATCAACATATCTGAAACTTTTTCATGTTAAAGAGGTGCACAAATTCATAGTTTGTTTCAAGCATTCCAAAATGCAGCATTCAAAGTCTCGATCTTAAGTTAATCCATTAGTACCATAGATCTTATCTATCTAGATGAACGGTATCAGTTTAACACTCTTCAGTGCTGCTGTTGAGCACCAGCTTGACTCCTTGGTCCAATCCTGGAATGGGTTTTGAGCCCCCAATCTATTGATTTGCAGGTGGACAATGTCACAGCTAAATGTGGACAGCTGACACTTTTTTGAGACATTCCTTAACCAGAAATTGCTCACACTAGTGTCCCACATTTCCCAAGTGTCACTCTTAGTAAGTTTACTTTTGCTACTTGTTGAGAGTATTTAAGTAACAGTGCTAGGGCTTGATGTACTGACCAATGAGCTAATTCCTAATGCCTTATCAGGTAACAACTGTATATCCAAACTATTATAAAAGTAATAATCATCCATGAAATGTTCCATAATTTGGTGAATTTATTGATTTTTTTTCCTCTAGGGTACAGGTGGTAATAAAACGGTCGCTCTCCAAGATGGTCTAAATAAAATTGAGATTGAAGTTGCTGCAGAAGACGGAACTTTGAAGCGGTATAAAAT